GGATGAAATTGCGTCTTTTTTTAAGGAAATTAATGAAATATGAAGTAAAACTGAAAAGTTAAAAATTCCCCTCAATTGCCTTATTTCTTCTCTCCAGTGTTTTTAATTTCAAAATTTTGTTGTTTTGCTTGAATAATATTTTTAATTCTAAGTTTTCATGAATAATCGCCTTATGGTTTTAAAACAACCTTTTAAACTTTTCTAAGAATTCAAAATGTGATTTTAAAATGTAAAACCTAGTAAATATTGAATTTAAAATAAAAAAAGTTTAATATTTGTGCAAACGAAAGTTTCATAGAATTCTTCATTTATATTTCAATAAATGTTTCTTTTTGTTTTTTAAGAGCACTCATTTTCGCACTATTGGCTTTTAGAGAAATGTGCCAGGCAGTCTTTTGGTGATAGTAGTAAAGATAAATCACTAGCATCACTCGGATTTTTGGAAAAGTTTGCTCTCGCCGAAAATGGAACCTTGGCTCCGAGCTGAGCACCACTCTCCTTTGTTTCTCCATTAGAAGACAGTATCGCCCGACGAAGAAAAGCGGTGCGTCTGAATTTACGCCTCGATTCTCGGTGACAGTTATCTTGCCACTGAACCACCTTTTTTTTACTTCTTCAAATTAATAATAATATTAATAATCAGCTTTCAGTTGAATGAAATTGGAACTGAAGAGTTAACTATTTTTCGTTATAGTATATAGGAATGTTAACAATATTTTACTAACAATTTAGTGCTTGTCGTGGTACTGGTTCGACTTATTTTATCTTAATCTTCTGTCATTTAAACTGTAGAATCTTTGCATCACTAAATGGGATAGTTTACTACAAAATTATTTTTCTAGGCGATTCTCGTGAACTTTGAATTATTTGGAAAAATTTTCTAATTTTTTTTTCAAAAATTATCTGCAATTTCTAGTTGATTAATAGTGCTTATTTTGTTATATATAATAGAATTTTTTTTCTAAAAATATTTAAAGAATTATTAATAGGAAATTTCAAAATTTCAAATTTCAAATTTTATGGAAATAAGTCGAATAAAAAATTTTTTTAGAATTATTATAGTAACTATTGTTGGTACAAAAATTCTAAAACTTGCGAAATAATCAATGCTTATATGAACTAAACTAATTTAATGATTAACCACTGGTAAACGAAAGAAATTTTTGGCGCTTCAATTTTTCTCAAAATATGCTAAACTTATCTATGATTTGTTTCGAGTTTCATTTCATTATTTCATTTTCCAGCAATTGTTGGAAATTATTATTTTCACTTGATTGACAGTTTATAGCGAATTACGAATTTTGTTAGTTCAATTCGAAGTTCGTTATGGTTCCAATAAGTAAAGAAATTTTTGTTTTTTATTTTTGCTGCTTTCATACAAATTTTGCTCAAAATTTGGCGAAGTATAGAAATAATAAATATTGCCGAACAGCAAGAATTATTCCTTATGAGGGATGAAAGGTGTGAAATGGAAATATTTTTTTCTTGTTTTTTTTCTTTTGCAAATAATTTTTGTATTATTATTTATTATTATATTATTGTTAATATTATCATCATTGTTATTATTATTACAATGAACAGAATGTTAGAATATAATTATGCAAATTTCATTCTATTTCGATAAGAATCACTTATTAAAATGGCAGTAAAAGTTTATGTGATTATTATTTGGCTAATTTGGCTAATGCTCAATTTATATGCCCAGACTGAAAGGAATTCCCTTCAATGTTATTCGATGGTACCATCGGTTGAGGTTGTGTCGATAGTTCGGTGTCAAGATATTTACCACTGAGAATTGAGGTTCGAATCTACCGAATCGTACCACTTTTTGTTAGATGGTACTATCCCCTAACAGAAAAGTAGAGGAGAGTAGAATGGCTATGGTTGTTGCTCATTTCGAAGCGAAAATTCTACTTCCGGTTGATGTAAATCTGTCCAGAAATCCGGTTGATGCTAGCGAATCACCTGTACTTTTATCGCGAGACTCACTGACATATTTATGTAGTGTGTAAGCCAGCGGAGCGGAGTTTAATCAACAATGGTGAATGCTCTTTTAAAAAAATCATATCTATGAATGCAAAATGTTCGAGTTTTTCAACTTGCTAGATTTGTTATTTAATTAATTTTGCTTTCTTTTCATCATTCTAGACAAACTTAACTTGAAGTTTTTTCGATTTAGATTACAATTTGATATTTTTTGTCGACATTTACTAAATCTTGTATTGAAATTAGATCCAATAGAATATCTGTTTCAAGGATTTCACTAATTTTATGATTAATGAATCTAAATTTTAAACGAATAATATACCAAAAATAATGTATCAAAAAATTTTATAATGGAAGGCAAGGAAAGAATTTTCTTTTTCCATTTCATTCAAAAGAAAATTCTTGGCATTATTATTTATAGAAGATAGAAAATTTTTATGAAAATTGGCACCAATTGTTTTTTCTTCGACAATTCGTTTATTTTTAGACTTCAATTTTTGAAGTCTTTGATTTGAAGTCTTTAAGTTTCCTAAATCTCCTTTCTAATTTTTTTTAAATCTTAAATTTAGTTGCAAATTTTGCAAAAAAAGCTCTTGTTAAAGTATTATGTTGTCACATTTTTTTATTTTTTAATAATTATGTGCAACAGTTTTTTTTAATGAGATTTGCGGTGATTGACAATAATGTCAACTCATCTAATTCATGCAAATGGCAATGGCAGTGGCAATGAATATCCATTGTAAATCTAGTAAAATGAAGTTTATTTATCCATTGTTGAGTTATAATTGAATGAGAAAGGAAAGCAAGCAGTAGTAGTTGGTGGCTAAATAATAATTTGTTGGAACATCAAAATAGATTGATATGTTGGTGGTTGGTGGCCATATCTCTAGATGAGGGATGTAAATTTTATTTCTTATAAATTTATTATTTATTCTTGACTCATCTTTCTCTTGATGGCGACATAACAAAATATATTTAATATTCCTCGAGTTCATCTTTTTCTTTAGCTTAAATTCATTCATTGAGACTCTTCCGTAATAATTCTGTTTCTTTGGCATTTGACCCTCTCAAGTGATTTATATTTTTCCTTAATTCAAAGGAGTCGAAAATATGCAATTTTTAAGTTAAAAGCGCCATTCCCAAGTGATTACTATCGTTAATAAATTGTACTGGAAGTGAATTTTCCCTTATCTCAAAAATATTTCCAATAAGAATCCAATATTATTATTCCACACTCCGCTTATTTCTTTTTTTTATATAATTAAAACCATTTCTGTGAGATTTTCCAAGTTAAACGATGACTATTGTGATTTAAGACGACGCCATTTCATGCATTTCGAAGATTAATTGACCGAATTAAGTGACCGAGAAATTTGGGCTTAATTTCCTTTTATCATGGCATCTAACTGTCTCAATATAGAGTCAATAATCGCTAAGGGTACTGTTATTTTATTGGTGAAGAAAAGTGCGCGCACGAGGTGTTGTTTTGTTGTACTTCGTCCATATTATTGCAGTTTCGTGTGTTCTCAACTTCTTTTCATCTGATTATTTAAGATTTATTTCTTATTTTCAACAAATAAATAATTTATTTACATAATAAATAGGAATAATTTATTTCTTATGGAAAAGGCAAAAAATTTAGGAAAAAATTTGGATAGTTAAAAACGAAAAGGGTTATATTAAAAATATAATGCTGAATTTTTTAAATCATTTGGTAACATTTGGTACTATAATTGATTAGGCTGGCTAGAATGAGGGTCTCTCATTTCCGAGTCTCTCGATATTTAAATCAGGCATTGCTTGATAATTTTTCGAATAAATTAAATAAATATTTGTTGTTCATAATTGCATAATCTATTTGAAAATATGGACGTAATATTTATTTAATATCTTCATGATTTATGACCTAATTTGAAAACAAAAAATTTGGTAGTGAAATTTCAACCTGGAGCATTTTATTTTTTGTTTATTAAGATTTTAAGCATTTTTTAAGGAAAAAGATGGAAAAGAAAAAATTGGTTGGCTATCTTTATAATGCAGATTATTACAGAATTTTATTTATTGGTGAGCAAATATTTACATATGTCATTTTGCTTAGTTCCCATCAAAATGCTGGCCAGATAGAGGGGATTGTGGTTAGCGGCAGTCCTTTTGCAATGTCACTTCTCTTCAATGAATGACCTTAATGCGATCCTTGCTATAACTGCTTCATAATCGCTTTATTATTATTATTTTGTATTTTTTCGTATTTTTATTTGTCATATTGTTTCTTCGGCATAAATTCTTTTTAATCCGTTTTATCATTAATATATTGGAAATTTATTGCAATTTACTATAACATTTTGATTGCATGGCATTTAAAATTCTATTTTTCACCACATTTTCGACAATTTTTATATCATTTTTCTCATCATTCTTGCCCATCATTTATTCTATTTATTCCGTAGTTTTTTACTAATACAATGTTATATTTGATACTGATAAGCTATTTATCTTTCTTTTATCTTCACATTTATAAATAAAACTAACCTTTTAACTTTTCTTCATTCATCATTGAATTTTTGTTTATTTCCACGAAACATTATCAAATAACCATTACGATTTATAAAATCATTTATAAATAAAATTGTTTAGGATATGTATTAAATTTAAATTTTTTGGACTTCTGATTATATCTCTTTTAGGTTGTAAATTTTTAAAAAAACTACGATCATCGATCATTATAAAAGAAGAAATGTGTTGGTGTATGTTAATAAAAAATAAATCGATGAAATAAAAAGTGAAAAAGTTTATAAAAATAATATTTAATATTTAATAATATTTAATAATATGGTTTTGAACTTTTAAGAATGAATTTCTATGGATAAAAGGATTTGGTTTTTATGGATTTTAAACGCAGAAAAAATTATATTTGCATAGATCGATGTTGAAAAAAATTGCTAGAAGTGATAAAATTTAATTCGCATTCATTCACTGTGGTGGCAGCGGGGTTTAGAAACTTTTTTCATAAGTAAATGTTAGTAAGTAATATTATTACTAGTAATATTAATATTTTTAAATATTGTTTTTATAAACTTTTTCACTTTTTTATTTCATCGATTTATTTTTTATTCTCGCATTGGTTGAAAAATTTTTAGCTGAATTATTAAATTATATAATAAATTAAATTAAATTATTAAAATTTCTATAATTTCTATAATTCATCATTGTTACATCGTAGCACCTTTTAAGCTTTATAAATCTCCACCAAAGCTAATTAAGCCGATATTTCTGAATTTATTTAAACAAAAACTAAGCAAATGTGAGAAATATGGAGATGTCATCATAGTCCACTTAAAAGATAAGTTTGGAAGTTGCAACCAAATATCTATTTGACAATTTGACAGATATATTGGCACGGGCAGATTGGTGATTGATGAGTTGTTTTTCATTGTTTCCCCATAAATTAATTCCAAATTCATTTAAAGATTTTTTCTCTTGTAATATTTGGTAATTTCTGAACATTTATTAATTTTTTAGTAAAATTCTGAGAAAAAAATTAAAATTTCATTTTTGTAATTTTTCTAATATTTAATATTTTCCGAGCTTATGCATTTCCAATGATTTCCAATTATGACATTCGTGTTATTGTTTCATTTTTTTTCTTGTATAATTGTGAACGTCGTAAACGTCTTCTACATTAATTTATCTTCCATCATATTTGTATATAAATTTTTATTTTAAATTTAGATAATTACAATAGAAAATTCCGATGATATGAGTGGTGGGTGTCTCTCTCCTGCTTCTCGAATACGTATTGCTGCTGACGTGCATCGACACAGTACCAGTGATGATGATAGCGGATGTATATTAGAAGAATATTCATGGGTTCCAAGTGGAATCAAGCCTGATATGGTTCGAAATATTATGAAAAATCTATTATTAAAATTGGTCGGATTTCAGCCGGAAACTATTATTCTGACATTCTTAAATTAGAACAAAAAGAATGTTATAATTTGAATGAAATTAAGGCAATATTTTTCCGCTAAATTGAATAATTGCTTAAGAATATTAAAAGAAATCTTTCTCCAAAGAGCATCCATCATTTTTGATTTTGCTGATTTTTTTACTAGGTAAGAAGTAGATAAATAAGTAAGGATTAAAGTAAACATGGATCTCCAGCTTTATCTCGAATTTAAATTAAAATATTTAGACTTCTTTAAAATGCTAAATGCTATTGATACTTTTATATTAGAATTTAAGCCATAATCATCAATGAAATATATTTTAAACTGAATAAATTGTGCCATTATTCACTCCAATGATCGAAATAAAATATTATCTGATTTTTTTTTTCTATAATAGTTCATTTAGCTCCTTGCGATATACCCTATTCCAGGAATTCTGGTATCCAATCTACAAAATTCACAAAATATTTTTGCAGATTCATATGTATTTCGCGTGTCTGCCGGAGGATAAAATACCTTACGTTAATTCAACAGGTGAAAAATGGCGTTTGAGACAATTACAGTATCAGTTACCACCTCAAGACTCTGATCATCGTTACTGTTTTAAATTATACCCAGAAGAAGAACGTGAATGGAAGGAATTTGAACAGAGAAGGAAACGTGAATGTCTTGGACGGGGAATTATTAAACAGTTACCCTATGATAACAAACGTCGACATTGTCATCAGGTATTTTCTTCATTTTGTTCTGATATCTTTTTACTCTTATCATTCTAAGATATCATTTGTTCCCTTTTTTGTTTTCTTTTTTTCATTTTCTTAACTAAATATAAACTTCTTTTTTTCATTTTCTTAACTATATCGTATAGTTTTTGTTAGATATCTGAAAACCACTTCTGAGGAAGTGGAATAATATAGCACCAACGAAGATCGGCGTATTATTAAGGAGTTATCGAGCGATAAATAGCACTTCATATTATATTCTCACTTTTACAGCCAGCATATAGCATTGTTTACGTATATATTCTAATCTATTTTCTGTCAAATTAACTATTAACGCTGCAAATCAAATTGCAAACCTAAATAATTGTTAAAGTTGTGCAGTGATTTTTAAAATTTTTGTTATGGAATTATGGAAAAATGTTTCGTCATTTCATTTATTTAACATGAAAATGCCAATTATTTTAGGTAATTCACCGGAACAATTAATTTTAGAAATAGGGACAAAAATAAGCAAGAGCAAGATTTCACGAAACATTGGCTTACTGGTTCCTCTGCACTCCAGTTGCCATATTTTTTGTACAATCTGTTGTACAATTTTTTGTATAATCGTGCTTACATATGGTATCAGAAATGAAACAACTGTATAATGTTATTTTATTAAAATAAATCAAAAAATACAAAATTTCCAAAACTCAAATTTAGAAATTTTATTAGTTATAGAAAAGAAACTTTTAAAAAAATATTAAAATCCTAAAATTTTTGTTTCCATAAAATTAGATTAAAATTAGATTCAGCCACAAAATTATTTGCAATTCTGTTAATTTGCAGTAATTGCTGAAAATGTAGGATATCATATTAACAATGATCCTTGCTTTATCGCCAAATTATAATGATGAACGAGAAAGATTAGGCTAATCGGCGATGAATGAGAGCGTATGAGCATATCAAATGACCAAATGCTAAACCACTATTGTATTATTACGAAAATGTCCATTTCCAAATAAACACATCACACGTATCATTTGCATCTTTCTCCCCGCACCCCCTACCCTTCCCCACCCATCAATCGTCTGTAAATACATATATGCTCGCTACAACAATTGTCACAATCAATTTACAGGCATGACATACAATGAACGATAATATTTACTGACAATTTAGTCAAATCAATTTGGAAAAGACTCATTACTGTTTTTATATTCAAATCACTGAATTTTGCCACTTAAAATTTAAATTTTCATATTAAATTATTTTCTTCCGAGTAAATGCTTATTGAATGCACGTTTATAAACTGATGAAATTTTCGAATTTGCTTCAAATTATTTTCTAAATTTGGGTCTGAGATCAATCAATAATTAGGAAATTAATCAACCTTATTAACTGAATAGATAAAGGAGATCTTTTTTTCAAGGTAATTTTTAGATACAATCACTGAATTACTGAATTACTGAATTTTGTCAAAATTTTGATTAGAATAGTGGTTATCATTCGTGGAGGAACATCGTTTGAAATCATCTAATATGATGGCTAATAAATATTAAATTGCGAAATATGGCCAATGAGAGTGGAAAATATTAAGAAGCTGTCAGTCTTTGAGCTTTTGACCGCTCATATTTAAGATACATTTTACGGATTCGTCAAGCGGATAAAATTTCATATGATAGTATCCATCTTGGCCCACCTGTATATGTGAATATCTGTAAATATGTGTCAATAATATCATAATAGATCATCGTCTTCGCTGGTTAGGGCACGTTCTCCATCGTCCACTATAGAAGTTGACACATATTTCTCTACTTCCCAAACTCTGTGATTGTTGGCGTTAAAAGGAGGGCCAATCAAGACATGGACTGATATAATCATAGAAGATTTTAAACATATAGAGGTACCAGGATTAGACGAACGGGAAAAGGAATGGCTTCTATTACTACTAGCGATAGCGTCATGCGTCATACCGAGTAGCTTGGAGACGCCTTACTCTTGTAGCCAGCCTAACCAGTAGTGGTGAGAGCTATTAGAAAAAGAAGAATAAATATTAAATTAAGTGGATTAAATTACATTTCAATGGTTCTCATCAAGATTTATACTTATATTACATATATATGTTATTAATTGCTGGAAATGCATCAAAATAACTATTTTCAGATTTTTGAATTGTAATACGCAGCAAATTTTGCCGAATTTTACATTCAGTTCCCAGTTCTTTTACGTAATTTTAATTTTCTAGGAGATTTTTAACGAAATTCGTACCAATTTTCCCTAAAATAATGTTTCTTGAGATTCTCAAGAAAATAATTCTTTGAATATTCAATGTCACAAAACTGTAATCATTGCAAATATTCAATTCTTTTCAATTTATCAATTTAAGTGAAAGAAGAGCTGATCAACTGATTCTATTTTCTTATCCATTTTAGCTAGAAAAACAAATAAAAAATGAGTGAGAATATTTCGTTTAAGTGCAAATGTTCTCAGTTAATAATTTTTATTGTAATATAATAAATTATGCTAAAAAAAAGGAGCTCATAGTATTAATCACAGAAAGAAGAGTATAATTTATTATTTTAGTGTAAAGGATCATTAACTGAGGGCAATCTCGTGATTTATGCCGAAAGATTTGAAGATGATGTACACTGGCATCCACAATGCTTTATATGTACTGAATGTTCGAATATCTTAGTCGATTTAATTTACTTTAAACATGGTGCGGATATATTTTGCGGTAGACATCACGCTGAAAAATTCAAACCACGTTGCGCAAAATGTGATGAGGTATGGATAATTTCATTTCTTCTCACTTCATTTTTTAGTTTACTCGATTTATTAAAAATTGGTAGAAATTAGAAAATTGCTTATAGAAAATTTTTAAATTTGAGGAAGTGAGGAAATGTCGAAAAATTTATTATGCAAATAAACTTCATAATAATATTTGAATGGTGTTTAAATTCATTCAATATCACATCAATAAATATAATTGTGAACTGATGAAGAGCGTCAATTTCAGTTGATAGTGTTTTAACAATACTAATAATGAAAACGAATTAGTTAATAAGCACATAGGCAGCAATTATGTGATATCTTCGGAAAAGATTAAGCCTAATTATATTGTTGACGGTCCGAATAACAGTTTTTCGTTAAGCCATGATAAATATGCAAACACGGAAGATTTATCGAAACTTTTTGATTAATTTCTAAATTTTTTATCACCACGCAAATTTCGAAAGTTTAAAATTAAAATGTTCAAAATTGTTTGGCGACTTTGCATTATTTTAATCAATGATAATAAAATTAATGTTAAATTTAATTCACTGAAGATGCTTTGAAATAAGTTGCCAAGCAAATTCACCTTATTTTGCAACTAAATGAAATGAGGTGGAACTGTAGAAAGTGCAGATGTTCATAGGTCATCATCTCATTTTTGACGTTAATTCTGCCCAGCTTTGCTTTTTCACCAAAAGATATTATTCATTTCATTATCCAAAGAATTATGAAGGGTACGTGCATCAAAGAAACCGAACGCCATCCACTGTCGATATATTTATCATACTTAGCAAATTAATTGGCTACATTGCACTTAAGTGGAACAAAAGTTATTGATAACATAAAGAAATTTTTGAAAATTTTATCCAAGAAAATTTGGCTTTCATCATTTACATTTCGAAATGGGTGATTTTATATAAAAATTTTATTACTTTTATTAATTTTTATTAAATAATTTTTTCGTTAAATTTATAAATTAATTTTTTTAAAATTAATTTAATTATAATACATGGGATCAGGATAAAGCGATGAGTAATAACTCAGAATATCGCGTTGAACTACATTTCTGCTGTTTAATTGGAAACGTCGTTAAACTATCTGGATTGTACTGACGATTCTTCTTGTCAAGAGATTCCTTTGAAAAAATTTCTAACCGTACAAATAGCGCAGTTAACAAGAAATGATGAGCGTAAACCACTTAGTTAATTGTTATTATGTTTTTAAAATTTATTGATGATTACTTTAGCACGAAAATGCGTTAAAATGCGTTATTGTTTTAGTTTGGATATTTGCCTTCGTTCGATTTCGTTCAGTTGATTATTTCTAAAAATTTTTAATTTTTTAATTCGTTTAAAAAAAATCTTTTTTAGATATTTAATTTAGTCGTTAATCGTTAATCGCAGGCACTTTATCGTTTAAATTCATTTTATTTTTTTCATACTCCAAATTTCTTTTTCTAAACGGTTTTACGTATCCATTTATTTTCCTTTATCTGCAGTTTCTTAACAAAGAATTGAATACAATAAATTTAGCGATTTTCTGTCACATTTGCTATATTTATTTATTTGTATTTAGCCTTCTGCATTATTTTAAGTTTAAAGTGAAAATTTTTTTATAAATTCTGGTTGCATTCAAATTATATTCTTCGTAGTTCATTTTTTTTCAAAAATTAATCTTCTTCTTGTAAGAAAACATCAAAAAATTTCTCAAATTCTTTGAAGTTTTTTCACTTATTATTTTAAATTTTCTCGATTTTGCTTGAAATTCAATTTCTTGTGGTTTCGAAAAATTTCAGAATGTTGAATTTTTAAAAAAAAATAAGTTTTTCGAGTCAGCGGATGAAAATTTGAATTCAGTTATAATTGCTAGTGTAGTTGGTTCATTTTACATTTAAGAAATTTTGACGGCTCTTTTTTTCTTTCAGTCTTTCGAAACTTTATTCAAATTTGTTCAGATTTGTTTTGAATTTGTTTTTTCCTTCCGCCCGATATCTTTTTAAAATTATTTAAAAAGAATTACCGATAAATTAATGAATGAAATAGATGAATTTTGGTAATTTAATAAGCATTCTTATTTCTTACAGCAATTTGTTTTAACTTAACATTTTTCAGTTAATATTCAGTGAGGAATGTACGGAAGCGGAAGGCCGAACATGGCATATGTCGCATTTTTCCTGCGTAGAATGTGGTACACAACTTGGTGGACAAAAGTGATAACTAAATTAAACTTAGCAATGTTGTTTAAAAATTATAAAATTAACAATTAAATTCAAATTAACCCTAAATTTTCCAGATATATTGCGAAAAATGAACGAACACTTTGTGTGCCTTGTTATCATCGCAATTTTTCATTGGCTTGCAACACATGTCGAGAAACGATTAATGTCGAAAAACCTCACATCACTCAGGTGCATTTTCATATTAATCGTATTTTGATTATTTTGAGAAATTTTTTAAAAAATTAAACGAAATTAATGTAATAAAATTAATGACGAGTATTATTTGAATTCTTTGGTTGCAAAAATAAATTATATATTTAAAATAATTTAATTTAAAGGATTTGAAAGGAATACTGTTCGAACATTTTGTTCATTATTTTTGTTATTACTGAGCATTTAAATCTGTTTTATTAATTTTCGATTATTACAGCTTGTGATCATCGCAATTTTTTTCTAAAAAATTTCTGGAAATATAATTATTAGCTGAATATTAGTTTAATAAACCGAACTGATCAGTTTTATTTTGGGGGGACAATTAATTATAGCGATCATTCTAATTAATTAAGGGTAACGTGCATTGGCATGCAGATGAACAGTGTTTCTGTTGCTCTGAGTGTTCAAAGAATTTACTTGGTAAACGCTATATATTTAAAAATTATAAGTTATACTGTGAAATGGATGAATGCAAACGAAAAAGATTACCTAAAGCAAGTTTTTTTGCTAAATATTTTTCTATAAAATTTTGCTAAACTACAAGTCATTGAATTTCTTTATTATTTATTTCTTAATATCACTTAAATATTTCGAATTTCTTATTTATAGATATCATTCGATTCGAATATTTCCACTGACTGCGCTCATAGACGAAATTCTGTTCCACGACCACCATTGAGAAATCCACCAACGCCTCCTAATGAAAATATTTATGAAACCGTTTTGCCGTGTTCATCTAAAGAGTCAGATGAATTCGAACATCCTAAGAGGTTTATGGAATTTCATGTTGCATTTGCTTGCGTAGCTTATTGCTCTCATGCTAAATATTAAACGGTGCAGTTTTTAGTTATAATCGACGTTCACATAGTGCAGATATGCGCCACAGTCAGACCGATAAGTGTAAAAATTGCATTAAAAAAGCAGATGCGGATTTAAAAAGACAAAATTATTATTCAAGAATGCCACCTTCGCCTTCATATAGGAGACGACATCGAAGATGCAGGTAGCGTTTTTTCTATGATATTAAACTTCCAAATATTCCCAAATATTCTTTTTTAAATCTTAGAATTCTTAGAAATATATTTGCTAACCATTTCAACCATTTAATAAATATATTTAAGTTCATGTAGTTCATCAGAAAGCGATGGTGAAGATATTTATTTGTCAAAGTATTTAGCTGTCTCCTTGGCACGTTATGAGAATATGCGGGTAAATTATTTAATTTAATTTTTATGAGCCAAAAAATTTAAACGATTTATCATTAATATTTGTACATTTATAAACTGACATCACTTTTTAGATATATTTTACTAATTAAAATTCGTAAAGTGGTCCATATATTTAAGAAATCACTTGGAAATTTGCTTTAAAGGCTGAAATCAAAATTTTTATTCGATATTATCACAGTGATAACTTCATTCGAAACGTTATAAAGCAGCCTTAGGATTCGAATTTATCAGTATTTCAGTATTTCTTAAGCTATTTAACAATGGTGGTAGTGCAAAGTGTCGACTATAAAATTTTCAGGACATTAAACACGAACAAAAAAATCAACGAAATGCAGTTCTCAACCGAATGAAAGCTTCTAAAAATAAATCTAATAATTGCATTGTATCCTAAAATTATATGAATTTCGCTGTTATTTTATTTTTTTGCAATAAATAATTAATAATTACTTACTAAAAATTTATCAATTAAACTTATTTATGAAAAACTTTCAAAAAAATTGTTTAATATAAAAAACTGCTTTGTTTGGCGAACAATGGATTGAAAAATTTTTCATAAAGCTGATGAAAATAAATTTCGAGAAAATAGGAATGAAAATATTTGGTTAAAAATGGTTAAAAATTTTAAACTCTAAGAAATGTTTCAAAACATATTTTGAATGCTCGCAGGACAATTAAAACAGTCGCATAATAGTCCAAAAAAGTTAGGAGCTGAGCCAAGACCAATTCAAAGTTTGAATAATCTCATGGATTTGAATCTTTCGAATTGAATTTCTAAGACCATCTCTTTATGGTTTGCTTATTGCACTTTATAATAATTTGCAAATTGGAATAGGAATAATTTTATATGCGACATTACCGAAACTTTTGTATTTCTCAATTTCGTGAAATTTGCCATTATTTAGATAATTTAATTATATTATAATTTTTCGACGAATAATAGATTTGCAACCTCATTTATCTACATACATTATTTATAATAGTGATATATCGAATTCACTTAAAACAATCATTTCTCCACTCTTCAAGTGCCTCATCACTCGCAATCATATATCAAATATCTTAAAATTGCCCAGCACTTACGAATCCACAGTGACAACCCATAGGCCGAAACTGAACTTTAAAACTTCAAAAGCTCTCAGTTCTCAGTTCTAATTTTACTCAAGTTTTACTTTAAAACATTCCCAGTCATGACTACATTTACAGGTCGTCATTTTTATTGTCAGTGTAATTTTGATTTCATCTTTCATTTCAATGCTTTACATCCCTTTCACTTCTTCCAGCAGCTGGTGCCATTAATGGTTAAGTGAAGTTGAGGCACCTCTTGATGCCATATCTGAAAACAACAGGTGCCATTCATTTTTTTACCCATCGCTGGACCTGTGCGTTCATGGTGACTGTATTCCAGGTCTAGGTCACTCTTCTGCTATGCATCAAATGGTTTCTATCTATTACAGTTTTCAGCTATGTGATAGACTGTGATATGAACCTTCCTGCATTCAAGAAGTGAATCAATCGTGAACTATCAATTATTCATACTTCGAAACTCATACTCATATTTGTAATGATATACGCTGGTAAAATGCTTTAATAAGAGGGAATATCTTCTTTGAAGCATGAACTTTTTAAAATACATCTACGTACATTGAAAGAATTTCTGGAAAATTTCCTTAAATTCCCACCTAAATTTAGATTATAATACTCTTCCAAACATTGTTTGAGGTATCTCACAAAAACATGGCTTACCAGAGACCCGTACTTGCCATTCATTGTTCATACATATATATCCTGTTGATCTATAATAGCACATTACGTTAAAATCTGTTTTAAAAATCTCAGCGGCAAAAATTTTTGAATCTTTGGAAAGAGGGCCTTATTTCTGTGAAAATTTATTTTTATTTATATTTTATTTTTTAATTTTTCTATTTTAAAGATACTGCTTTATTTCAAGGAAAAAAAAATTTCCATGCAATATTTGTGAATATATTGGAATACCAAAAGAATACATTTTGCAAGGCCATTTTGAAAGCAAATTCAGATTTCAACAGACAGTGTTCTGGCAAATTAAGGAAAACAAAAAGTATTAACAATTCAACGAAATATATTTCAATGATGCATCTAAATGGCGTTAAAGTAAGTTCGGTTCGGTTTATCTCACTTAATTGCGACGTTATCAAGGCCTTTAACTGAGTTATAGATGGTGACTTTATGAAAGAACGCTTGAATGAATGCATCTAAAAATACTTTTATGTAGCAAAAGCTGTGTGCATGATTATTGCATAGCTTACTCAATAGTGTGGATAAATTGAAATTGGAGTTTATAAAATTTATCGGCAGTGGTTCACCCTATGATGATTGGCGAAGCAAATGGAACATAAAATTAGGAAAAAAGCAAAAAGAAAGGGATATACTTACATTATGTATCAAATTCAATAGAAAAATGAATGGGATACGATCATATTACAAATATTGGTGCAGTGAACTTTATATAATCATGTGCGCATAACCAAAGCCAATTCAGAGCTTTTCTGAAGGAAGCTGAAACATAATAGAGTGGTTTTATCTACTTCTCTAGAATTCTCTAGAATTCGACAGATAAGCCGAGGTAAGTGCTGTAATTTTTTCGCTCATATTTGAAGACACAAAAGTTTATAAACCGAAAAAAATCAGTCAATCGCCATTTTAGAAATCCAAAATGTTTATGTGATTTGGCGTTTCTCTCTGATATTTCTATTCGTATGAACGCACTGAATTTCCAAGTTTAAGTTTAAGGTACATCACGACGAACGATAATTACTCTACTTCAACGAAAAGAGCTAACGATTCAAATCAAGACAATTTGTGAGAGAGCTCTGTTTTTTCTAAATGGGACTGAGCCAGGGAACGAATAACAATGACTTCGAATTCGATTGAAATGGAGTTACGCTATTTCACCTTTTTATTTTTATTATTTTATTAAACGACTGTGCTACACTTTATTAAAAAATTATGTGTACAATGATCAAATTCCAAATCCAAGATATACTAACGGTTTTACGTGAAAATATGGAAGTTGGACACAAAGTGTTACGAAATGACAGGAAGTACGATGAATTAGTAAGGAGTCAACTTAGAGAAGAGAAGTGTATCAAAGGGATTTGAAAGAAATACGAGGAGACAAATTGATGACAAAGCTGAGCTTAAATCAGCGATCTCGATAAACAATGGACAGCACTATTTGGGAAGCTAAAAAGGGAAAAATTGTAGGAGAAATTTTTTGACGATCCATTTGTCCAAGAATCGATCAATGACGCAAGCAGATTTAAAGAATAAATTAATAATGGAAGAAATGCAGTTGAAGTTACAATTTGACGAATTGGAAAAAGACAAGAAGAAATTAGAAAACAAATCTGTTGGACATAATTATATATTGTAATAATATGTCACATTTCATTCGCCAGAGAGTTTTTTAAAAATACAAACAACTGATTTTTCTTTATACTAGAAAAACTATAGTTACTATTTAAAAAAAAATTTCAGATTTTGAAGCTGGCAAAATTTTTTCTTAAAATTTTACGAACTCTTTTGATATTCCATAAAATGAAGTTTAACCAAATTGAACTGACTAATCAACTGCATTGAACTGCAATGAAGAACTAAAGACAAAATTCAAGATAATTTATTAAATTTCTATAAACTTGCTTCCAGAATAACTTTTTCAGTTTGAAAGAATTTGCAACAGATCGCAGCAATTTATTTTTATTTGGAAGTATTTTTATTCATGAAATGATGAAATTAAAAAATTCTACCTACAGAAATCGCCCACCAAATCCTGGCGCAATTTTGTGATTGAACGCTATGCTACGAATATATAACCAGACATGGGCAATTTGGTACCAAATATTCAATCCCACTGATTTTTCTTTGCAACAAATATTTTAGTGTCTGGCAAACTTAAATTAAAGCGTGGTTGAAGAATATAGGTCTGATTACAAGTGAAAACGGCTCCTTATCCTTATACTTCGAAGCTGTGATTGCGCTTTAAGCTCCGATAGAGGTGAGGCACAATAATTTCACTATTTCTCCTTGTTGGTTTTTAATCGCAAAATTTTTTAAATAATAATTTCATACTGATAATTTTCAATTTTAATATTTCAACAGTAATTATAAATTATACCCACCTGCGATCGCTACTGACATTTTATGTTTTTATAACTAATTACAAATAAATAAATAGTTAAAAATATTTTGACATTTTTCATCGGCTCGCCGGTAAAGATAAAAAACCGTTTTACCCGTAATTAAGCCTATATTTATTTTTAAAAAATTATATCTGGCTCTTTTGCACGTGTAAAATTAAGCCCCACGTTTGTCAAAATTCCCCACGATCAAAACCCCGAGTGGGAGAAAAACTCTTGATACTTCAGCGACTCATTTATAGTGAATTTTCTGACTAATAAAATTATGAATAAACGATAAAATTATGGACATTCCATCGTTAAAGAAACTGCTTTATTTAAAGTTCCAACAATTGTGCGAAATTTGGTTGCCAGATTTACTTTGCATTTTCATCAGATTTCAGTATCAGTATCGTTTATCGTTTATTATTGCCATGGCGAAGAGGAAATTTCCGAAATGATGAAAGAATAATTAAATAAGCCTTTATTTTTATGTATAAGCTAACCACGACTTGAACCATTTAAAAATGCTTGAGGCATTAAAAGAAAAGGGGGCAGAATCGAAGCAGCGTATTATCAAGCATCTGATATATTTGATAAATCAAGAACGGTACGATGGCAAAACAATGTAGGCACAATCCAATTGCTTTATTTATAATTTTTACCTTTCTCTTTAAAATTAAAGGTTTACTCTTTTTAATGGGTCGCGTTTAAAACGGTTTTTGTCTATAGATTTGGTTGCATTTTCTCTGATATTTTCTGATGATATTCAGCGTTATTAGATTTTCATTCCATTTTTTAATTTAATTTTTAAATTTTTTTATTGGACTTTTGCGAGAAATTTTCCAACTATTCCTTTCAGCCAAATCTTTCAGCCAAATCGAAAGTAAACACTGCGATCCCTTCGAATCTGCAAAATTTTACAAATAATATCGGTAGAAACAAAAAAATTCTTCAAAAAATTTTTCAATCAAACTCAATAGTTCATTGCAAACTACGATGCGTTAAAATTTCGCTAAAAAAATTTTTCTTCATTGCAGCTACGTCGACTAAAAAAAATTGCATAATCAATCGCAGCGGAACACCATAATCAGCGAGGAAAAATTTATCAAAATCGTAATTTTTCTCATCGTGGAAATTGATTAAGAAATGAATTGAAAGTGAGGAGGCTTTGAGTTCGAAAAAAGAACGAATTATTCACTTTTAAAGCTAAACGATGTATAAAAGGGAACTCTCAATTAATGCACTCGCTTTGCGCTCATTGTATTGTATTATCATCAACGGTACACACCAGCCGCTATTTAAATTTTAAATGAGCAAGAAATTTTAAATCCGATTCATTTCAAAACATTTAACACGTGATTTTAATTGTTCATTTCCAAATTATTTATTTGTTGTAATAATAATAGTAATAGTATTAATAATAATAACCATCAATAATCATCCATCGTTGTCATAATCATATTCCATTAGGAACTTTTCATAATAAATTGAATATAGTAAGAATCAAAATATGGCTAATTAATTATTTTATAAAAAAATGCGAATTTTTAAATGGAACTACAAATACGGATTGAATTATTTTAAATTACCAATATTTCAGGGAATTAGGAATTGCAAGAAAGGGTCACTCTCATGCAATATTGAATTCCAACCGGAAATTTTGCAATTTTGTCTTGTGATGCTAATCTAAAATCTAAATAATTAGCATCGAAGTTCATTGATTGTTGATATTTCTTTTGTTTAATTAATGTTTCTTTTTCCTCGAAAAACGCTTCCCCTAGACATTTCTTTCAAAATAGTATATCTCCTCAATAAAATAACCATATCAGAATTTTTCTTCCAACTCTTTTGCTATAATATAGCGCAAATACACAACAATTTAATAAGATTATTAACAATAAAACAGTAAAAGTTATAAAATGGGATCAACTGACATAAAATAGATGATACAAACCGCATTTATAAGCAGTAATTTAAATATCTATTTAATCTGATCCACATGGCTCCATGTTTCTTGCGCTTTTTAAATATGGTGCAATAAAAATTTCATTTTATTGTAAATTCATCACTTGTTGCTATTATGTCGCAATAATTTTCATGAGAATTTCATAAGCCGGCAATTATCTCTATAAGCGAGATGATACTTTGCTATGAAGCAATCTGGGACACAAATTTGTTCCTTTCAAATCTCGCTTATCTCCTGCATATTTTTTCAATTCGTTCATACCCTCTGATAAATTTTGTCTCTTGAACACCTCTCTATTACCCTAGTTATAATAGTATGAGAATTTATATAAACTTAACTAACAAACTTTCCATGGGTTTATCTTAGTTCAGAGAAAACATAGAAAGTAAAAAATATCGAATGAGCGGTACAGTAATTTGCATTTTAAAATGTGGTAACACAAAACCTTTTTTTCACTTATTTATTTTAAAATTGAGGAAAATTAAAAGTAATAAAGCAAATTGGCTCTTTTTTTGCCAACAAACTCTTTTTTTTTCTTCATTAAATGAGAAACCTATTTAAATTTCAATTTGAACGAGAGCAGAAGAATCGACGTCGGTTTAATTACCCAAGTTCGAGATAATTATTAATTCTGCTTCTTAACTCCGCTTTTGTGGTCAAAATTGAATTTTGGAATGCTTTTCTCAATCGAGTGAAGCCATAAAAAATCATGCATATATTTTAAAATCATATATTTTTAAAATTTTAATAAACTAATAAAAATATTAAGCCTAAATGATTAAAATTTTATCGTTATTACTGCTCAAATTTGTTTGGTTCAGAAGAGAAAAAAAAATTTTTCAAGAAATTGAAGATTTTTGTTGGCCTTATAACCACTGAATCGGAAACTAAATCATATTTTTCGCGCCTTTCACTTAATTTAATTCGATTTTGATATTATCAGAAAACGTCCATACTTCCTTAAGAATTTAATTTGAGTTGTATTTCATTCCAAAATCTATTATGGCTGAAGAGCCAAAGAACTTTCGCAGTGTACAGTTTTTTATGGGTAATATAGCTTCTCATTTTCTATTTGAATATTCTATTCCACTTTCTATTTCAGTATAAGTATTCTAAATAAGTAAATGGGTCCCCGAGTACTATCCGTTCCGCAAGGTTTGGTGCTGAAGTCGAAGTTACGATGACCGAACAAATTTATGATCATAAAATCGTTAACATCATAAAAATTCGCTAATATCTTTGAGAAAACTGTCATTAAAGAAAAATAATTCAAATTATATTAATATGTATTTTTAACATATTTTTTTAATGGTATTTTTAATTGATAAATAAAATCGAAAAGGCTGATACATGTTTCGTATGTAGGAAGGTTTTGTTACAGGCGAAAAAGATTTTTTTTTGGAAATGAGCCCACTTTTAAATTTTCAGTAAATATTCAATGGATTCCTTATTAATTGTTGGCTTATAATGAATAATTTTTGCATGCATACGCAACTTACTCATTATTCCATGATACGTTCATGATAAATTCAGTTAATTCTGTCTCTTTTTCTTCTCGCACTTTCCCAACTATTTTGCTTTAGTTCATTGTTCGTTTGAACTATTCCTCTGATAGCTCGCGCCATTTCTGATATGGCTTACTAAACTGGTAAGACGGTTCCAGGCCTTCTGGTCCGATACCATACAAAAAAATAACTCTGTTTAAGCTTATATATCTCTCAGAATGACATTATGTCAACTGATATCATGCTTGGCCATGTCAGTTCAGTTGACCCTACGAGCTTATATTACTATCTATCACAGAGCTTAATAATTAGCAAGGCTTGATGGGCGATGAAGAACGTAAATAGTCTAAGCATTGCAAATTGTGAATTTGCACGATCGGTACTCCAAATCGCATTCGAAGGTGGATGTAGTCATGTAATCATGTCTCCGCCTGTTTTGTAAGAAGATAGGACCTACTTTAGGAAACAAAGGTCAAATATAGCATGACTTCTTCCTTGATATTTTCCATATTTCTTGACATACAGTAGAATCGGTAGCACAATTGATCACTGGATGTAAGAATGAATCCGAAACATTTAAAGTTTTTTTCTTAAACTGGTGACAACAAAAATAATAAATATCCTTTCGCCAGAGAGTCATTTGAGAATAGAGATACAGATAGATTCCAACTTTGCTTTTAACGTAGATATTACTCTTATCAGGGAAAAGGACCTATGCTGCTGGTCATTTGAGCGAGTAACATAGCTCCGCAGTGAGCTGGTATTTCGCATACCCTCAATTTGTCGCGAAGAACAGGACAACATATTGGAAGAACATTTCGCGCTTCTTCTTTTAAAGCTTTAAAGATTTAAAGAGTAATAAAGCTCTATTTTCTTTCGGAATTTCTTTGAAATTTCATTAGATTCTGACTTACTGACTCTGATGTTAAAATCGTTTATTTTACAGGAGAAATATTGATATTTTAAATTGATTTTCAGGAATTTAAGCGTGACTTAAAAACTTCCTACTCTTTAAAACCATGGTTCAAGTTAAGTAAGATAATCTATTATTTTTAAAAAACTAATCGATGATATCTGTTTAATTGAAATTGTAACAAATAAGTAAACACAACAATTGTAAACAATTGTATAAAGCAAGTTAATTAATAAATTTATGGTTCATTGGTGACTTACTGGCAAAATGAATGCCACCAAGAATTAAGAATGGTTCGAATTCCATCATGCTTCATCGGGCGGCATTTATCGCCGAACAGTGAAAACAAGCAAATAAAAGGGTGGTGCTCAGTTCAGAGTGTCAAAACTGAGGTTCTAAACAGCAGTATCTACAAACCCGATGACACTGGCGAGTCTTTTATAATTCTATCGCCAAATGAATCCCTGGCAAAGTCTGTCTGGTCTGATAAACCAACAGTGGTGAGCGCTCTTAGAAAAAATTAGTAAACTTATAAATGAGTTCTATTTGCAGCCAATTATGGAAAATTCTGTGCTCTCAAAACCACATTCTAAGCCGAAATTTAATCTCTTCGTCTTCCTTTTAACTGTTATGGCTGTAATCGGTGGTTTTCTTTTCGGTTATGACACAGGAATTGTATCTGGTGCAATGCTTTATGTAGCACGAAGCCAAGCGATGAAACCATTAACTAATAACTGGAAGGAACTCATAGTTGGTATCACTCCAGGTAGATTAATATAAAAGAAACTAATTTCATTTCTTTTTACATGATTTTAATTAATTATAGTATGTCCGTAAAGTTTTAAGATTTCTTGCATTCATTCATTTGGTATTTCATGAATTTTTCCTAGAAGCAAATCGCTTTTTCGATATTACATACGGAAATACGGAAATGATGGAAAAAAGATGTTAACGATTTTAGGCACTGCAGCGATCGGAGCTTTGATAGCTGGTCAAGTTTCTGATCGATATGGACGAAAGAAAACAATTATCGCATCAAGTACCATATTTACCACGGGTGGCTTAATTTGTGGAGCTGCACTAGAAAAAATTTCATTATTCATAGGCCGATTTCTTCTTGGATTCGCGATTGGTAAATATTTTCTACAATTTCTTTGGAGAAATAACTTCTTTTTTACAAATAAAAATTTAATAAAAATTTTAGAAATAATATATTTTTACTAAGTGATGGCTAATGATTAACAATTTTAGGATTAGCATCAATGGTTGTACCAATTTATCTAGGTGAAGCGTCACCTTCCCATATTAGAGGAACACTTATAACAGGATTTCAGCTTATGATTACCTTTGGTCTTATGGCTGCCAATATTGTAGCTGGTATAAAAAGTTTTTAAATAAATTAACAGGATTTATATTCCATCAGAAATAATTCCATGTATTAAAGGAAATGATGAATATTCAGTGATTATAATTTTCGGTTAAACAAAGAATATTTGCCCTGTTAATAGCTATGAAATAGCTAATCAAACTATGAAAAATTTCTGTAGAGAAAAAATTTCCTTAAACCGATCAACCGTTTTAACAGTTTCTTTCCTTTTTGAAAATTCAAAAATAGGTAATTCAAAAAATACCAAAATAAAAAGTACATAAATTCAAAGAATTGAAAAGTACTCGGAAGACTCTCAGAAAGCATTTACAATTCTTCGATTATTTCTCGAAATGAAAAAATGAATTTATTCAGGTGGATTTTCATACATTGACCCAGAAAATGTCGGCTGGCGCCTGATGTTTGGATTTGCTGCATTACCAGGAATAATTCAATTCATAGGCTTTATGTTTTTGCCTGAGAGTCCTCGCTGGCTATACGCAAATAAAAATAACGAAAAAACAACTTCAGTACGTATATTTTTATATTATTCTATAGAAATATTTAAAGAATAAGAAAAATCATTAAATAAATTCATAATAAAAATTGTTAAGGTCTTAGATCGAATTTATAGTGGAAATAAAGAATGGATTGAATATGAATTTGCTGAAATATCTGGATGCGTTGAAATGGAGAAGAAATGCAAGGAGGAAAACGGTAGGAAGAAAAGAATTTTTAATGTTACTTTTAAGGTCATAACTGAGGCAACCAAAAAGGCTTTCTAAGTGCATTTTGTGTTTTCTATCCTTCATTCATTTTAAAGCTTAATTTTCTTTCTAAACAGTCTGAGGGTGGATTTTTAAGGTTCTTCCACAATTTTGCGAGTTCTTACTACCCCTCATGTGCGTAAAGCTTTAATAATTGGTGTTCTTCTTCAGGCATTCCAACAGCTTTCTGGTATCAATACCATTATGTAATAAATTTTTTGCTTTTTTTGAAGAATTTTTTAAAAGTCAAAAATCTCTTGAGTTATTTCATTTTTCTTTCACTTTTATATTCTTTATAATCAACTTCATTTTATTTTAACTTTTATTGTGCCAAAGCTTTTATATTACTGAAAATCTTTATTTAACAATGGTAAGTATATATCTTTTTTTTTAAGATTTAGGATTTTTAAAATTAGTAAACGGGTTTTTTGAAGGTACTACACAGGAACTATAATTCAATCGGCTGGATTGAAAGATATTCGATTAACAATATGGATAACAGTTGGGATTTCAGGTAAAATTATTGATGTACTATGTTGTTATCTCATTTTTAAATCAATTTTAGATAATTTATTTCATAAATACTGGATAAAAGATAAAGTGGAGTGCTTCTTATAAAAATTTAAGATTCACTTTGAAAAAAATTTAAAACAATCATTCAACAAAAGTGAAAAGAGGTTTACCGAGAGTTTTCTGTGGAATCTCAATTTAATCGATCAGTGTTTTCAGTGTGTTGAAATGTTGTTTGAGAATACATAGCAATGGCTAATAAGCAGTTAATCGTATCTTTCTTGGCATTCAAGTAAATTATTAAATTAAATGATCATTATAGCTGTCAATTTCTTCTCAACGTTCATACCAATGTATTTCGTAGAAAGAGTGGGACGTCGAAAACTACTTTTTGTCTCAATAGCAGGGGTTGCAATTTCCTTAATCGCAATGGGCATATCTTTTTTGCTTATCAATACGGATTCAGGATACACTATACCTCACGATAAGATAATTGTTGATTCTTCAGTTCAAAATTACCAAGACTGCAAATCTTATAGGTAAATACATTATTAAATCATTATTTCAAAATTTACAATTATTTTTAAAATTTCATTATTTCAGTAACTGCGATTATTGCGTGACAGATGAAAGGTGCGGATACTGCCATATAACTGATACTAAATCTGGGTGAATTTTGCATTTTTATTATAATAGTTTATGCTCAATTAATTGATATTTTGACAAATTGTTAATGAGGTTTTTTGATAACTCTTTAATGAAACCTTCATTTATGCAAAATGATTGTCGGAATGAATATTTTGCAATTCTTTAAGTTAATAAACTCTTTTAATTTTTTATTTAAAATGATTTATAAAGGAAAAAGGACAAAAAGAATTATATAAAAGATGAATACTTTTAGCATACTTTTTTGTCTGCAAAAATTAAATTAAATTTAAATTTGTGATTGCTTATTTATTTAATAACAGCACAGATAAAAAAAGATTTTAATGGCATGTACGAGTAAGATTGTTGAATTATTCAAAAAATTCAAAAGATATAAATAAAAGATAAAGTGATGGAAATTTTCTTTTACTTTTTGAAGAAAAACGACAATTGCAGTTACTGTCTACCATTTGATCTAATTGATCATGACAAATCATCAACAGGGCCATGCATGGATATGAATAATATAACAAATTTTACTTGGACAAGTTTACACTGTGCTACTCGATTCACGATTTTACCAATCATTGTAATGGTCTGCTATCTGGCATTCTTTTCAATTGGTTGGTATGAATTTCTTTAAGCTAATTTTATCAAATCTTCTATTGAATCAAGTGAAAAATTGTCGGAATGAATATTTTCAAGTAATGTCACCTAATTTTAGGATAAATATCTCATTAGTCATTTTGAATACTTTCAATAAATATTCTATCTTAACATTTACATGAATCGAATTTACAAAATCTCGTATAAATCTCTCTCTTATAATCAGACTTGTAATCAATAATCACTGATCAGAAAGTCACACCTTCAGAAGGTCCTTTGAATATCTCGTCGAATCAATGGTTTATTTCCAAATGGGTTAATAAAACTCTAATTAAGAAATGGTCGGAATTTCGCTAGCTTTGCTTAAGTTAAATCTTAACATTAATGCACTATTCAACCTAAGAAGATTAATTTTTGGGCATATTCATCGCTTCGCCATCATCATTTAACAGTGCCCACCATCATTGCTGGTTTTGTTGGCTGCATTAATTATCAGTTTGCTTTTCTTCAGTGAATTAGTTGGAGATTAGACATAAAACAAATTATGGGTGCACAGTACTATACAAATTTCACTTATAAAAATTTTCATTGCAATTCAAGATCCAGAATTGAATTGAATCAATGATCCTGCTTGACTCGAAACAAAATTACTCAGACCACAGCTCAAACTTCAGTAAAATAATAATTATTGCTCCACTAACTATCTGAAAAGTTTTTTAGGCTATGCGCCAATGCCTTGGGTACTAAATGCAGAATTTTATCCATTATGGGCGCGCAGCACTTGCTGTTCGATAAGCACGTTCTCTAACTGGTTATTCAATCTAATTATATCGTTTACGTTTCTATCACTCAGTCAAGCAGCGTCTAAATTCGGTAAAGCTTTTTATTCAAAAAAAGAACGAATTTTTTAAATTTCTTGTATATATTCAGTTAACAGTCATCTTGAAAGAGTGGAATGAGCTTTTATTGAACATTTCATCAGTTTTGAAGCAATGAAATTAAATAAAATTTATACAAATAAAATTTAAAACTTATTTATTTAACAAAATAAAATTTATTAAACAAATTTTTCAGGAGCTTTCTTTATCTATGGTGCTTTAACGTTTATTGCATTTGTTATTTTTTATATAAATGTTCCAGAAACAAAAGGCTATAATATTGAACAAATTGAGACATTATTTATGCCCAAAAATAGACAAAATATAGTTAAATCAGTGGATGATTTTGGTTATATTGGAGAGAAGGATGAAGAACATCAGAAAATAGATGAAAAACTTTGATTCTTCCTAAAATATTTCGAAATGTTGTATGCAGTCTTATATAATTTCCCCTAAATATAATTTTATAATATAAATGCCCAATTTTCCATTTCTCAGAACTAATTTTAAAAAAAATTGGCGAAAATAGCTTTAAAAGTTTAAAGCGTTTAAATCCTTGTTGTATATATTCATTCGTTACTAACGTAATTTTCTGCGATTTTGTGCCTTATCACCTTTTGCATATTTTAAATAAATATTAACAAACAAAAAGCAGAATTTGAACTACAAGGAAGAATTATTTACTGCTTTACACCATATGCTCGCAAATTTTTTAGTAATAATCGCTCGCTTATCCAAATTCGTTGCATTCATCAGTGCCCCTCAGGCGAACTGCTTACTAACTCTAATATTAAAAATTCTAAGTCTATTATTATTTCCTAGTAATTTTTAAATCTTAAAAAGTTGTATCTTAAAAGTAATTATTAAAATAAAAAATCGATTTTTCAAAGGCTATTTATTTTAAAAATTGAAAAAAATTAGGCTTTTATAAAGCATTAAAAAAAGCAAAGTATATAAATTGGAATTAGAAAGAATTAAACAATTAAAAATGAAAACAATTACACGAAAAATTAAATGAAAATGAAAATTAATGAGAAATTTGAGAAATCTTTTGTGATACTAATAATATTTTTATATTTGGCTCAGCTTATTTCAGCGTTAGTCTTTAGTTTCTGCAAAGGCATTGGAGATATGATGAGACAAACGCGACAGATTATATCATTCGATTAGCAAAATTGTAAATTGTAAAATTGTGCAGATGCAGTAAAAAATTGAGAAATTTGCATACAAAAGGACCACGCGGTTTTAAAAGACGCAG